TGCATGAATAATAATAAAGTCAAACTCAAAGTTTCTAAAATGAACCTGTAGACATGCTGTGGACATTTAAGTATTCACACAAGCAGTATATTAGCTTTAAAATAAGTCCTCACTTGCCTCTGTAGCTGTAGACACTGTAGGGCAATTCATCCCAAAGTTTCACAGCAGAAGTACTGAAATCATTCCAGCCCTTCTCCTGGCAGCTCAGCTCATTCAGTTCCCATCTCCCGGCAGTGACTCAAAAGCCTTCCAATGTCCAGTGCAGATGCCCTAGGACAGTGTTTCTCAACCTTATTTCCAGTCAAGGCACCCTTTAAAATTATGAAGAGTCCAGAGGCACCCTTTAAAATTATGGAAAGTCTTGAAGCACCCCATTTTAAACTGTGAAAAACGTTTCTAAAAGGTTTAGAAACGCAGCAACATCCACACATGTAGGACACCCAACATTAGAGGTGATTTATTCTTCCAAAGCAAATACACTTTTGCACACTGGTACTGATTAGATTCCAGTGTTTCTCTTCTCCCTCAGTTTTTCTCCATCACTGAGCTAATGTGGCCCCAGCACTGATGGAAAGGGGCAGGGAGGGTAAAATTAGGATGCTGTGCAGGCAGCTGACATCCTCCTTATCAACTGATGATGTCATTGATTGTCAGGATGCGGAGGCTAGAAGGTCAAAATGGTGCACAATGAAAACCTGTGGCTTTGTGTAACTAAAAGGCAGGCTTGTTCCACCTACTGGCTTGTATACAAGTTTTGGGCAATTTTTAAGCATTTTGCCAAGGCACCCCTGAAGAAACCTCAATGCACCCCAGGGTGCCTGGGCACCCTGGTGGAGAAAGGCTGCTCTAGGAGAGTTAGGCAAGGTGAGCTGAGCTGCTTAGAGGACTTAAATAAATGTAATGATTCTGCTGTGAACATTGAAGATAAATTGCTCCACCATGCCTGAAGCTACAGAAGTTAGTGAAAACATGTTTTAAAGGTCAGTTCACACCATGAATCACATAGGAATGAGCTGTGCATTCCTGTGCAGTTCATATGCAATTCGGTGCAGTGCAATTTCATCCCATTCATGCAACCGCACCAAAACTAGTGTATGCGCTACTGTAAAAAACCACATAGCAACCAGATACCATGCTATTCCATGCAGTCCAGTGCAGGCAAACACACTGCCTTTGCGACCTCAGTTTGGAGTGTCATTAAGTTAAAACAAACACCTGCAGCAGATCGCAAGTGCAGTGCGTTTTGACTGTGGTGCGGGGATCTTGCAGTTTCCCGAACTGCGTTCTGGTGTGAACTCATTTACTGTTTGTTAAGGATTTGTAAATACTTGGATGTCTATAGCTTGGCCACAGGTAAACTGGTGAGCCAGCTTGATAATGTTCCCAGGATTTTTGTATCTTTCATCCTTCCTGAACCAATAAAAGCATCTTTATGATGTGTTTATGATCTAGCAGTACATGTTCATACTTTTATCCTGCAAGGCATTTCACAGTTATTCTAATGATAATGATAACAAATTCTAAGGTTTTAGTTTCATGGTACTGAATAGCAACAATGGCTTTTTGCCTAAATAAAACTGCACTGGTAAAACATAATAACACCACAAACAAACAAAAAAAAGACTATTTACTGGATGCAAAGTCTCTGGTATCTCCTTTGCTTATTTTCAGATGTTCTGTGCTCTAATTGCTCAAACAAGCAGTGCAATGGAGACAGCTGTACCTGTACCTTGGATGAGAATGGGAGTGGAGCAGAACCTTGCTTGATTGATGACTCCTGCCTTCTCCCTGGATCCCTCTGTTGTCCTTCTGATCTCAAATTTAACAATGTGACCAAATGCTGCGATGGTGAGATCTAAGTATCTGTCAGTCTGTAGAAACGCTATGGTAAAAAAAATCTAGACATAATAAATAAATAAATATGCAGATCAAACCGCCAAACAAAATGAACAAGGAATGGGAAATGTTTAGTTAAAAAACAGCATGATGGGTGGTACTTACAGTCAATCTGAAGTGTCCCTTCTGAAGTGTCCTGGCTGTTACCCTTGGTCCACACCGAAATGTGTTCTGCAGTGTTTTGCAGAAATGCAGTACAGTCCATTTTATCCTTGATTTCCTATGGGACAGGTTCACATCTCCATGTTTTCACGCGGTGAGTTTTTTGGAAAGGGTCAGGGGCTATTTTGAATGTAAAATGTTGCATTTTTGGTTCTATAGACTTCAATGGGAACACTGTAGAAAAGCATGTAGTGCGTTTTTGCCATGTTTTTGAAGCGGTTTGCATTTAAAATCTGCCTAGCAAGAAGAAAAATAAAAAAAAAAAAATGCAAAACAAAACGCATCAAAAACGTGTAAAAAAAAAAGCAAGTGCAAAAATGCAAAACACAATTCAGAAACACCTCAAATGCAACTTGCATAGGTGTGAACCTAGCCTTATAGTTGAAATCCACTGCCCCCCCCCCCCCCCCTCCCCATACCCAGCATCTGTAATCTTTGGTGCTGCAGCAGGAGTGAATAGAGCCAAGGGACCTGTCACAGGCACTTATCACAAGTTCCAACTATGCCTGCCCATTACACCCCGCCCCCCTCTATTCATAGAACCTGTGCTATAGCATTTATTGATGAAACCTAATCTATGAATGGAGGATGGGTGGATGATTGAAAGATCCTTCTCCATTCATAGATTGTTTTTCATTAATGAAAGATAGAGTACTTCTAATAATGGAGGATCTAGGCGGAAAGGTTGGGCATAGTTGGCACCACTGCTCTGTTAACCCCCACCGCAATGACAGCTGGCACCAGCACAAGGGACACATTGCATTAAAAGTACATACTCTCACTGTCACAATGTACCTGAATTTAGGCTATAAATAATTAAAAGAAATCAGGTGCAGCAACTGCTCAAGTACTCTTGGTCTTGTTATAGTTTGTCTGGCACTCTCCCAATTTTCCTGCACCTATATGTCAGTGCATGTTGGAAAATATTAATTTAAAAAAAAATTCAAATACAGAATATTAATAATACATATAATAACTGTGGGCAATTGTCAGACTACACTTTTTTACCTTTCCTAAAATCTGCAGGTTCTCAAAGTGCCTCATTCTCAGTAAACATTTTACAGCGTGGCTTGCTAAAATATTAAGCAAATACTATAAAACCGTGGAGAAATGTACTTTCTGGAAACAGTATCAGTACATTATCTTAGGATATTAATAGGTTAGTTCAAATATATGAATTCTGGCCCTAACAATGTAAATGTTGGGAAACAACAACCAGTTTAGAAAAAAAACAAGCATTCTACATATCTAGACAATATAAGCACACATTGTTTTCAGTGTCTCAGACCAAAACATTCCAGATAAAAATAGCCCTAAATGTCAGTGTCTATAAAACAAAGATTGTTTACCCTCTCGTTGAAATAGTTCATGTAAAAATAACAACAAAGTTTATTTAAGAAAAAAAGAAAAAGAACCAGGCTGAAGGCAAAGTAATTCATTTTTTTCCAGAGCTCTAAAAATAAAGATCTAAAAGGTGAATAAAAATAAAAATTTAAAAATCTAGGCGAATATAAAAATAAAGATCTAAAAGGTGAATAAAGATCTAATAGGCAAATATTGTCTACATGAGGTATATGTATTCTGTATTCCTGGTGTACTGTGTGTATTCATTCCAGAAATTTTACATCTTTGCAGAAGTTTCCTGTAATAAACCACATGGAAGAAAAGTATATTTGAAATATATTTTAAAAATATTGTTCCCAAATATATTGCCATATATTTGAAATGCTAAAATGTTGGTAATATTCAATATATTTCAAAATATATTTCAATAAATATATATATATATACTGCATGTTGAAATGTGTTTTTATTACAAAATATATGAAAAATATTTTTAAAAATACATTTCAAATATACTGTATGTCTTTAAAAATACAAATATACATTTTTGGAATGCATTTACAAATATATGTAAAAATATATGTTAAAATTACTTTTTTTTATATGTTTAAAATAAATCTGAAGAATATATATAAATATATATATATATTTTAAAAAATATATTTTTTTAAAATACATTCTTCAGATTTTTTTTAACATATAAAAAAGTCATTTTAACATTTTATATTTTTACATATATTTACATATACTTACCATCTTTTGGAAATAATGCAGTCATAAATGTAACAAAACAGTAAAATACATAGAAAATAATCACATGCTGAGTATTAATCTGCATTGTAAAGAGCAAAAAATGCATAATAATCTTGTCCATTTCAAAAGAATTGCAATTCTACTGTAAACACTTACACACTACTACTTACACATTGCTCTGCCTTATTTCCAGCTCCTGAGATTGGGAACAGTGCTACTACAAGTAGGGGGGGGGGGGGGGGGGGTGGGGGGGGGGGGAGGGGGGGGCAGGTAACAAAATAACATTAGAGTATTGTATCATTGTAGACATTATGTAAATTGGAATGTTTGAAGTTTTACCACTTCACCTCTCACACCTGTTCACCTTCTGTGGACCAGGGCAATTTTTACAATTCTGCTATGAACTTGTTTATTTGGTGATAATTTTGACATTACACCAGATAACAAGTTCATACTCATGTTGTTTTTTTAAAGGACACACAAGACTTTCATAATTATTGTCTTGCAACAATTTTTTTTTCGCAATCCTGAGACATTTAAACGTAACAAAACTCATTTTTTCTTTTTTTTTACCAGTGTTAGTTTTTAAAAAAAAAATGTTACTGCAGAAAAAAAAGTGTGTTTTATGTAATTTGTCCTATTTAAAATGTATGTTATATGTGTAGAAATATTAATGAACAAAACAAACAAACAAGAAAAAGTTTCAATATTAAAATAAATTAGAAACATAAAAAAAAGCAGGAAAATAATTATTGAAAGGATAAGGAGAATATAGGGTTAAATAGGGCTGATTAGAGTAAACTTAGGGTTAATAAGGAGTTAAATTGTTACTAAACCCAAAACAGTATAATCAGTCTGTATATGCAGTAAAGAATGCTTGTTATACTCAATGTGGAACCTAAGGGGCTAAGCCTCCACATTTTGCAAAAAATATGTTATATCCTGTCTTCTCTGATCCTTCCCTTCTTCTACTGTCTCCAATCCTTCTGCACATGCTCAGATAGTTTTTTTTTTTTCCTTGGGAGAGTGAATTTGATCAGCACAGGGTCATTCAGAACTGTCCAGACAGAGGGTCAGGGATTATGCAGGCTCATGGGACAATCAAGGTAGAATGAATACTCTTCCTACAAGCTTTAATCAGTGCTCTGCTGGACACTGATAGAAGTCACAAGACTGCTCTAGCTACAGATGAGAAAAGGTATTTAGCAGTTTTTAGTTTACTAAAATAATTTCATTTCCATGTTCTGTGTACTGTGGGAGACCAGATATAGTGAATGCAGGGTCCTGGGTTTAGTAACACTTTAAACAGAGAAACATTTTATTAAAAAGAAAAAATAACTTTTTTTACTTGTCAGGTTGCTTTAAAGCGGAGTTCCAGCTGAAAAAAAAAGTCAGCAGCTACAAAAATTGTGGCTGCTGACTTTTAAAATACAGACATTTACCTGTCCCTTGGTCCAGCGGTGTCCTTACTACGGCTGGTTTCACCGGCCGCGTTATCTCCCCGTTGACGGCATCTTCAGTGTGGGCACAGTGCTGTGACAGTTTGCGGCTTCACAGCCGAGTGCCAAATGCGCATGCAGGAGAAGTGCTGAGCTTTGTGAACGGTCCCGTAGTCTTCTGGGACCTGTCACGTGTCCCAGAAGACTACAGGGAAAGAGGGGGGACCTGTCAAATTCGGGTGCCCTCTCCACCCCCACTCCCCAAAGGTGCCAATCCTTAATGGGGAGTGAGGGACATAGGCTTAAAGTGGAATGTCCCCTTTTGGGTGGAGCTCCACTTTAAAGTGGAAGTGAAGGCCACACCCAACTGACTCTAAACCTGCTCTCAGTCACATTATAATACTAATCTATCTTGCCTTGCAAAAAAAAAATAAAATACATATATATATATATATATATATATTTACCTATTCTGCAGGCGCTCCAGTCTGGTCCCAGGCTGAGCTGTCAGAGGCGGCTGCAGTGTGTGTAGAAGTGTGCAGGAGAGGCAGCCAACAATGGAAGCCCTATAGTAACTCTATGGGTGACATCACTTCCCAGGCATTTCCCAGCCATTGTCAGCTGTCTCCTGCACACAGAGGGCACTGCTGGAGACTAGACCAGAGTGGCTGCAGAAAGGATGAGTATAGCGATTGTTTGTTTATAGGGCTAGATAGATTAGTCTTGGGCCCCTTTCACACTGACAGTCCGATTAGGTCCATCTGTCAGTTTTTCAGGCGGACCCGATCGGACCAGCCATAGACCTCTATGGATCGGCGGGTGTCAGTGGAGAAGTGTCCGCTTACACCCGCCAGCATCCGATCCAATCCTGTACACCAAAAACAGATGGATGGGGATCCATTCCGCATTAGTCTGGTGGATTGGATCTAATGGCAGTCGGATGGAAACAGACAGGCAGTCCGGTTCCATTTGACCGCCCCATAGGGCAGTGTCTGTGTCTGCTCTGTCATCCCTATTTGTTGCATAGTTTGCTTGAAAGGGTATATACCAGTGTGCAGAGGGTCCTTCAGAATTTCTAGAGTTAATGTGGTTACACCCCTTTAGCACCTGATGGATAAATGCATGCACTAGCTGTATGGATTTGAGCACAGGGATCTCTTGTTTGTTGTATTGTTGGGTCAGTAGCCAGACCTGAACCTTGTAGCTCTCCCCATTGTGTCTTTTCCCCTATGCTAGCATTGTGTCCACAGTAGCACTTGCGTAGGCAGGGCAGAGTAGGACTGGCCATAGAGGGATTACTTTGACGCAGTTGGCCAGCTTAAACATGTATTGCAATATGTGTGAACCAAATATCCCTATTTGTTGCATAGTTTGCTTGAAAGGGTATATACCAGTGTGCAGAGGGCCCTTCAGAATTTCTAGAGTTAATGTGGTTACACCCCTTTAGCACCTGATGGATAAATGCATGCACTAGCTGTATGGATTTGAGCACAGGGATCTCTTGTTTGTTGCTCTGTCAATGGACACAGACCTGTCATCTGCCTGCTCAGCGGGGATCAGTGGAGTGATCCCCCGCTGAGCAGGCAGATCTGCTGCTCGGTCCGCCCCACCTGAAAGGGGCCTTAGAATGTGGCTGATAGAAGGTTTAGAGTTAGTCAGGTTTTGCCTATACTTTCAGTTTAACTAACTTCATCTGCAGATTGAAGTCCTGCAGATGAATGAATAGAATGATACAAATGTTACAATATGTTACATTGTATCTTTCTGTAGCATCTGAATAAGTGTTATTTACAGTATAAACAATGGCAGACTGCTTGATTTTGACAACTATAAGCTGCCGACCTTTTCTGTGTTTGATCAATCCAAACCAAATTCCTGTGTACTGGGAGGAGGGATAAGGTCAGAAGGAATAGGGAATGGATGTGCTACACACATGCTGTGTACAATGAGCACACCCAGGCCTGGAACTAGTTAAAGAGACCCTGTTACGAGGTAACACTTCACAGGCTGCTAACATACTCAAAATGTACTGTATATACAGTAACTAGCACTTACTGATGCCTCCCTTGCTATGGCAATTTTGTCAGGAACAGCCCTATAGTTTTCTACATCCTCTTACTCTATTGAAATATCAGTGGCTTTCTGTAGTGGTCCCTATACTGGCCCTGATATCACTAAGGTGTCCAAATGCTGCCTGTGAAGCTTCCAGTAAAGGGGAGGTAGGGAGCAGTGAGTTCTGATGCTTGGCAGATGCAGAGGGCCAGAGAAGTCAGGATCAAACAGCCTTTTTACACAATGTGAATGATTAACCCTGATAAAGCATTTCCAGAGCTCTCAGTAAGCTTTTAAAGTACCATTCAGTTCCAGTTTGAACACACATTCTAATAGGAGTGCTGATTGCCACTTTAATCAAACTGCTAGCAGGCTTCATCATTTCTGGAAGCTTGATGAAAGTCTGATGATCACATGGTATAGAACTGTTCAGATTGGCTTTGAATGGTGTCTTGTGATCTGAACTGTCTGCTGATGGCTAAGCTCACAGTGGTTAATGGGCGCACTGGCTTCCTGTGCATTTTTGGTAATGACATTTATAAACAGCACTTAAAGTCTTACTAAACCCAGGACCCTTCATTCACTATATCTGTTCTCCCACAGTACACGGTACACAGAACAGAACAATGCAATTATTTTAGTAAATATTAACTGCTAAATACCTTTTTGTCATCAGCAGTTAGAACAGTCTTGTGACTTCTTACAGTGTTCAGCAGAGCACTGGTTAAAGCTTGTAGGAGGAGTTTTCTTTCTGCTCTAGGAGAATGCAAAACCTCTGACCTCTGTGTGGACAGTGCTGACTGGCCCTGTGCTGATCACTTGCACTCTCTCAAAAAAAATCTAGCAATACACACTAAACTGAGCATGTACATGTGACTACAGGTTCAGTCTGTCTTATCAGGTGGACATTTGAACACAAGAGCAGGGGCAGAGAAAAGAGGAACAAACAACCTTTTTACACAATGCAGAGGATTAACCCCTTAGGTTCCACAGTGATTATAACAAGCATGCTTTACTGCATATACAGACTGATTTTACTGTTGTGGGTTTAGTAACACTTTAATATATTTCCAATTGTGACTCACATAGCTTTAGGAGCATAGCAGGAGGCAGCCAGACACCCTCTTTAAAACGGGGTTGACTCTATTCTAGCCTTTTTGCTAAGCTGGTTTCATAAGTCACCAGACTGAAGCTCACACAAAGACTGCAAGTTGCTTAACCCCTTCACGCCGGCCGCACACAAATGTGCGGCCTCCCGGTGTCTAAGCCTAGACGCCGAGCAGCCACACATTTGCGTTCATGTAACAAAAAACATATGTGCTGAGAGCGCGCGCCCTGCGCACTCCCAGCACTAATGTGCGGTACTCACAGAAAGGTCCCGGTCCGCTCTTTTGATCAGGACCTTTCCCTATCATGTGACCGCTGTGACGACGCGTCACGGCAGTCACATGATCCCTAAACCACACCCCACCCGCCCCGCCTCCCAGCGTCTGAAACTCTTAAAGGGCCGGGAGACGCCTGCGGGAAGGGGTTAAGCTGGGTACACATGCACAGTTTTTTCATTCAGCCAGTGGCCTGAACAAAAACAACAATTAACAGATTACTGCATCTTTAGCAGCTTTGATCTAAGAATCCCCCACCACCACCAGCAGCTCCAGCACCACCACCACCAGACATTGTATTCTGACAACGTGGAATCTCCACTTTCAGAATATACTGATTATCACTGCATCAAACAAGGTTTTCCAGCAGTCTTGTTTAACAGGAGCCAATCTTATTATTACTATTATTATACAGGATTTATATAGTGCCAACAGTTTGCACAACACTTTACAAAATGAAGGTAGACATTACAGTTACAGTACAATTTGGTACAAGAGGAAACAGAGGGCCCTGCTCATTAGAGCTTACAATCTAGGAGGAAGGGTTGAGTGATACAAAAGATAATAGCTGTGGGGGGATGAGCTGATGGAGGAAACAAAAGGCAGTTTACTAGCTAGAAGCAGGATAGGCTTCTTTAAAGAGACCATCTTCAGAGATCGTCTAAAGGTGGATAGATTAGGATATAGTCAGACAGATTGGGGTAGGGAGTTCCATAGGATGGGAGAAGCTCGGGAGAAGTCCTGGAGGAGGGCATAGGAGAAGGTGACATGGGAACTAGAGAGCAGAAGGTCTTGGGAGGATCGGGGAGAGCGGTTTGGTAGATATTTTGAGACCAGGTTAGTGATGTAGCTGAGGGCAGAGTTGTGGATAGCTTTGCAAGTTTTTAATATTTTGCATTTTAATCGTTGGGTGAGTGGAAGCCAGTGAAGGCATTGGCAGAGAGGGGTAGCAGACACTGTACTGGGGGAGGGGGGAATTGTAAACTGGCCTGTGAGATATGCACACCTAATCCTGTGCTCTGAATATAACACACTCATGAACCCTGCACTCTGTATGTAACACACTCCTAAATCCTGTTTACTGTATGTAGCACACTCCTGAACCTTGCACTGTGTACATAGCACAATCCTGAACCCTGTGCACTGTATGTAGCGCACTCTTGAACCCTGCCATCTATATGTAGCACAATTCTGAACCCTGCAGTCTGTACGTAGCACATTTCTGAACCCTGCAGTCTGTACGTAGCACAATCCTGAACTCTGCATTCTATATGTAGCACAATTCTGAAACCTGCAGTCTGTACATAGCACACTTCTGAACCCTGCAGTCTGTATGTAGCACAATCCTGAACTCTGCACTTTGTACATAGCAAATTCCTAAATCCTGCAGTCTGTACGCAGCATAATCCTGATGGTGGTTAGCTGAAAACCTAGTGGCAATGGAAGGAAAATTGACCTTGAGCCCCTCAAAATGCTAATTATATTACAGGTTTGTTTTATATTACGAAAGAAAATTTTAACGCAAATTTTGCTTTCTGATTTTTTTTTTCCCAGGACTATTCAGCCTTTACCTGATTTGGCTCATATTGTGATATATGTCCAGATATAGGAGAAGAAGAAAGAAAAAGAGATACCATTGCCATTCTAGCCATTCTAGAAATAAAGAGAATTTGGATGCAGCTAGCCACTATTTAATATACAATAATAAACATTTTCCTAATTTACATCAATGCATTTGTGACAAATGTGAATTTATTCAGTAAAAATATACTGTTGACTAATGTATGTAATTAGTGGTATCTTTTCATATGCTTTAAATACCTTAAAACAAAATATACAAGTAATTTACAGCATCAGCAGGGCTGTCAGGGCTCCGGAGTATGACCAGAGGTATGTGACTGACGCAGGGAAACGCAGACTTCAGATATGTTATAAACAATATAATTTATTAACACTAACAATACAAACATAAACACAGTGCAATACTAAAACATAACACAGTGCAAATGAACCAAACCAAACCACCCACAGATAACAATACATACAATGCAAGCGTCGTCAGGCAGGCCGGGTCAATAACAATCGGGCAGGTAGGTACAGGGGGAGCAAGCGAGAGAATGGTCGGGGTCACAAGCCAGGTTCAGCAGGTAGCGGGCAGCGTGGTACAGAGGGTCAGGCAGAGGGATGGTCAGGAACGAGCCGGGGTCAGAGCAGGAGAGGGTCAGTGTAATCAGAACAGGCAGAGTTTGGCAACAAGGAAACGTACTAGCAGGAACACAGGAATAGGAACAAGAATGCAGGATTACAAGATACAGGGCCCAGGGAAAAACACACACACCAAGGCAAAGACTGCAGGTCTGGCCATCACTTAAATACACCTGCATAAGCAGTTTCAGGTGTTTGGCTGACTGCAGGGTTGAGTCTCTGATTGCTGGGAGCACCTGCTGGCCAGCCCTGGTACTGCAGCCCACAAAGCAGGTGAGTCCCACCACTACTGGCAAGTCCATTCCTAACAGTACCCCCCCCTCAAGGAGCGGCCTCAGGACGCTCCAAACAGTCCTAGCTGGGCAAAATGTTCCACCGCCCGGGTCTGGTAACTGGTGGGATATCAAAGACTGGCACATCGGGCAGGACTCCGGGCAGCGGCACACCGGGCAGGACTCCGGGCAACGGCACATCGGGCAGCGGCACATCGGGCTGGACTCCGGGCAGCGGCACATCGGGCTGGACTCCGGGCAGCGGCACATCGGGCTGGACTCCGGGCAGCGGCACATCGGGCTGGACTCCGGGCAGCGGCACATCGGATCACCAGGCAAAAGCAGCAGGCACCGGGTCACCATGCGGAGCAGCAGGCACCGGGCCACCAGGCGGAGCAGCAGGCACCGGGCCACCAGGCGGGGCAACAGGCACCGGGCCACCAGGCGGGGCGACAGGCATCGGGCCCCCAGGCGGGGCGACAGGCATCGGGCCCCCAGGCGGGGCGACAGGCATCGGGCCCCCAGGCAGAGCGACAGGTCTCGGGCCCCCAGGCGGAGCGGCGGGTGCCGGACCCCCAGGCGGAGCGGCGGGCGCCGGACCCCCAGGCGGAGCGACAGGTCTCAGGCCCCCAGGCGGAGCAGCGGGCGCTGGACCCCCAGGCGGAGCGACAGGCACCGAGTCACCAGGCACGACAGTGGGCTCCGAGTCAACTGGCATAACCACGGGCACTGGGTCAGACATTGGATCGTCTGGCTGGACAGCGGGCATCGGGTCACCAGGCATCAGGTCATTTGGCTCGACAGCGGGCACCGCATCATCTGGCAAGGCAGTGGGCACCAAGTCACCAGGCACGACAGTGGGCTCTGAGTCAATTGGCACGACAGCGGGCACCGGGTCATCAGGTACCGGATCGTCTGGCTCGACAGCAGGCACCAGGTCATCTGGCGCTGGATCGTCTGGCTCGACAGCGGGCATCGGATCACCAGGCATGACCGCGGGCACTGGGTCATCAGGCATTGGATTGTCTGGCTCGACAGCGGGCATCGGGTCACCAGGTATGACAGCGGGCACTGGGTCATCAGGCATCAGGTCATTTGGCTCGCCAGCGGGCACCGCGTCACCTGGCAAGGCAGTGGGCACCGAGTCACCAGGCACGACAGTGGGCTCTGAGTCAATTGGCACGACAACGGGCACCGGGTCATCAGGTACCTGATCGTCTGGCTCGACAGCAGGCACCAGGTCATCTGGCGCTGGATTGTCTGGCTCGACAGCGGGCATCGAGTCACCAGGCATGACAGCGGGCACTGGGTCATCAGGCATTGGATCGTCTGGCTCGACAGCGGGCATCGGGTCACCAGGTATGACAGCGGGCACCGGGTCATCAGGTACCGGATCGTCTGGATCAACAGCGGGCATCGAGTCAACTGGCCTAATAGGATCATCAGGCTGGGTAGAAACATCACGCTGGGTAGAGGCAGCAGGCTGAATGGAGGCATCAGGCTGAATAGAGGCATCAGGCCGGGTAGAGGCATCAGGCCGGGTAGAGGCATCAGGCCAGTTGCTACAGAGGACTTCTTTACAGAGTTAAAGAAAGGATAGGTGCAGCGAGTGGGAGCAGAGGACTGGTATGTGGTAGTTAGAGTATACTGGGCAGTCACTGGGGGTGCTGTCGGGGATGTAGGAAGAGTGCCTTGAGTGGAGGAATGATGTCGTAAGCTGACTGAGGCTGGGTGCAACAAGTCTAACCATGTCTGCAGTATGGGTTGAACGAAGCTCAGTTTACACAAAGCCTGTCTGGTCAATGACTGCACTGCGTTTATACAATCTCTTAGTATCTGTGGTGAACATGCAGAATAACGCTCCAGAAAGTAATCCACATCATCCTCTAATAACCATACCAGGGACTCTACCTGGTCGGCACTAAATGGCGGCAAAAATTCATCCCTGCATTCGGGGGTACCAGATGAAACCGACTACGCACAAACCTGAATCAATGGCTGCACCTCAGAGAATTCTGTGCCCTGATCTACTAGAACATGAGCGAGCCGTATACATTCTAGCAGTTCATCCCTGGGATACTCCTTCAGAGTCTGATAAGCATATTCTCTGTCATCAAACACTAGCAGATATAAATACACAACCTCATCAAAATCCATCCTTCCCATCAACAAACCAAGATGGCTTCCCTGTGCAGCTCCGCCGGACGCCGGACCCAGGCGGAGCGACAGGTCTCGGGCCCCCAGGCGGAGCGGCGGGCGCCGGACCCCCAGGCGGAGCGACAGGTTTCGGGCCCCCAGGCGGTGCGGCGGGAGCCGGAACCCCCAGGCGGAGCGGCGGGCGCTCGGACCCCCAGGCGGAGCGACGGTTCTCGGGCCCCCAGGCGGAGCGGCGGGCGCCGGACCCCCAGGCGGAGCGACAGGTCTCGGGGCCCCAGGCGGAGCGGCGGTCTCGGCCAGGGAGCGACAGGTCTCGGGCCCCCAGGCGGAGCGGCGGGCGCCGGACCCCCCCAGGCGGAGCGACAGGTCTCGGGCCCCCAGGCGGAGCAGCGGGTGCCGGACCCCCAGGGCGGAGCGACAGGCACCGAGTCACCAGGCACGACAGTGGGCTCCGAGTCAACTGGCATAACCACGGGCACTGGGTCAGACATTGGATCGTCTGGCTGGACAGCGGGCATCGGGTCACCAGGCATCAGGTCATTTGGCTCGACAGCGGGCACCGCATCATCTGGCAAGGCAGTGGGCACCAAGTCACCAGGCACGACAGTGGGCTCTGAGTCAATTGCCACGACAGCGGGCACCGGGTCATCAGGTACCGGATCGTCTGGCTCGACAGCAGGCACCGGGTCATCTGGCGCTGGATCGTCTGGCTCGACAGCAGGCATCGGATCACCAGGCATGACCGCGGGCACTGGGTCATCAGGCATTGGATTGTCTGGCTCGACAGCGGGCATCGGGTCACCAGGTATGACAGCGGGCACTGGGTCACCAGGCATCAGGTCATTTGGCTCGCCAGCGGGCACCGCGTCACCTGGCAAGGCAGTGGGCACCGAGTCACCAGGCACGACAGCGGGCTCTGAGTCAATTGGCACGACAACGGGCACCGGGTCATCAGGTACCTGATCGTCTGGCTCGACAGCAGGCACCAGGTCATCTGGCGCTGGATCGTCTGGCTCGACAGCGGGCATCGGGTCACCAGGCATGACAGCGGGCACTGGGTCATCAGGTATTGGATCGTCTGGATCAACAGCGGGCATCGGGTCACCAGGCCTAATGAGCGATGCATCAGGCTGGGTCATCATGCTGGGTAGGAGCAGGTCTGAATAGACAGCGGGCATCAGGCCTGAATGGAGGCAGCAGGCTGAATAGAAAGGCATCAGGCTGAATGGAGGCAGCAGGCTGAATGGAGGCATCAGGCTGAATGGAGGCATCAGGCCGGGAATGGAGGCATCAGGCCGGGTAGAGGCATCAGGCTGAATGGAGGCATCAGGCTAGGTAGAGGCATCAGGCTGGGTAGAGGCATCAGGCTGGGTAGAGGCATCAGGCTGGGTACAGACATCAGGCTGGGTACAGACATCAGGTTGAAGTGCGGGTGCCGAGGCACCAGGCTGAACCACGGAAGGCCGGTTCTCAGACGGCAGGCTCACCGGTTTGGATACTGGCAGGATGGTACTGGTTGGAAAGAATTTCCACTTTTATCTAGTTTTAACTACTGGGGCACTGCAAGTAAACGCAGGTTTGTAAACGGATGGAGCAGCTGAGGACAGAGAAGAGCTGGAAGATGGAACAGAGGAGGGAGCAGTTGCTACAGAGGACTTCTTTACAGGGTTAAAGAAAGGATAGGTGCAGCAAGTGGGAGCAGAGGACTGGTAATGTGGTAGTTAGAGTATATACTGGGCAGTCACTGGGGGTGCTGTCGGGGATGTAGGAAGAGTGCCTTGAGTGGAGGAATGATGTCGTAAGCTGACTGAGGCTGGGTGCAACAAGTCTAACCATGTCTGCAGTATGGGTTGAACGAAGCTCAGTTTACACAAAGCCTGTCTGGTCAATGACTGCACTGCGTTTATACAATCTCTTAGTATCTGTGGTGAACATGCAGAATAACGCTCCAGAAAGTAATCCACATCATCCTCTAATAACCATACCAGGGACTCTACCTGGTCGGCACAACTAAATGGCGGCAAAAATTCATCCCTCCCTGCATTCGGGGGTACCAGATGAAACCAACTCCGCACAAACCTGAATCAATGGCTGCACCTCAGAGAATTCTGTGCCCTGATCTACTAGAACATGAGCGAGCCCCTATACATTCTAGCAGTTTTCATCCCTGGGATACTCCTTCAGAGTCTGACAAGCATATTCTCTGTCATCAAACACTAGCAGATATAAATACACACAACCTCATCAAGATCCAACCTTCCCATCAACAAACCAAACCCAAGATGGCATCGCGCTGTGCAGCCACTTCTGGTCAGGATTGGCCCTTGGTGTAATGTCAGGCTCCGGGTATGACCAAGGTATGTGACTGACCGCAGGGAAACGCAGACTTCAGATATGTTATAAACAATATAATTTATTAACACTAACAATACAAACATAAACGCAGTGCAATACTAAAACATATAAAAGTAAAGAAGTTGTGAGCGCTATGAAAGCAAAAAGCAGCCACAGCATCAAAAAGGATACCAAAAGCCTTACAAACCATACAATATAAAAGATGCGGCGCTAATAGATAAAATGTCCACAGTATCAATCTATGGTGGTTAGGTGATTATTGTGATCACAAAAAGAGTTACATCACAAGCAAAGTGACCATGCGGTGCAAAACCAGTCTTTGTGACAAATTGCCCACAAAATTTTTTCTCTCAAAGTGCTGCTCTCCATGCAGTAAAACGTGAAAAGGATAAGGCTGTGCACTCACCAGATGCACAGTGTAACTGCGCATTTAGAGATATATTATCTCCACTAAATCCACAAATGGCTTCAAAAGGTCAGGTCAAACCGGATATTCCTCCATCCGCTGAATGTTGCTAGTAATCCACTGGTCTCTCTCTTAGGTGGCTCTATGGGTGATGAGTGACTCACCAAGGGCCACAAAGAAAGGAGACCAATAGCGTGATACCGTTTAAGGAATATTTATTGCATATACAGTATGATATAGGAAAACAAACAATCACTGACCATGAGGTGAATATATAAGGTGGCCGCCGGGACCATCCGTGGTGCCGCGGCAGAGAGATAGTGACGCTGTAAAGCTCACTATCTCTCTGCCGCCGGCCCTACCACGGAGGCATAAGCAGCCACCTTTATTATTTCACCTCATGGTCAGTGATTGTTTGATTTTTCCTATATCATACTGTATATGCAATAAATATTCCTTAAACTGTATCACGCTATTGGTCTCCTTTCTTTGTGGCCCTTGGTGAGTCACTCATCACCCATAGAGCCACCTAAGAGAGAGACCGTGGATTACTAGCAACATTCAGCGGATGGAGGAATATCCGGTTTGACCTGACCTTTTGAAGCCATTTGTGGATTTAGTGGAGATAATATATCTCTAAATGCGCAGTTACACTGTGCATCTGGTGAGTGCACAGCCTTATCCTTTTCACGTTTTACTGCATGGAAGCAGCACTTTGAAGAAAAATAATTGTCACAAAGACTGGTTTTGCACCGCATGTCACTTTGCTTGTGATATAACTCTTTTTGTGATCACAATAATCACCTAACCACCATAGATTGATACTGTGGTGGACATTTTATCTATAGCGCCGCATCTTTTATATTGTACAATACTAAAACATAACACAGTGCAAACAAACCAAACCAACCACCCACAGATAACAGTACATACAATGCAAGCGTCGTCAGGCAGGCCGGGTCAATAACAATCGGGCAGGTAGGTACAGGGGGAGCAAGCGGAGAATGGTCGGGGTCACAAGCCAGGTTCAGCAGGTAGCGGGCAGCGTGGTACAGAGGGTCAGGCAGAGGGATGGTCAGGAACGAGCCGGGGTCAGAGCAGGAGAGGGTCAGCGTAATCAGAACAGGCAGAGTTTGGCAACAAGGAAACGTACTAGCAGGAACACAGGAATAGGAACAAGAATGCAGGATTACAAGATACAGGGCCCAGGAAAAACACACACACCAAGGCAAAGACTGCAGGTCTGGCCATCACTTAAATACACCTGCATAAGCAGTTTCAGGTGTTTGGCTGACTGCAGGGTTGAGTCTCTGATTGCTGGGAGCACCCGCTGGCCAGCCCTGGTACTGCAGCCCACAAGGCAGGTGAGTCCCACCACTACTGGCAAGTCCATTCCTAACAAGGGCCTTGGTGGGAATCTAACAGGATTATTCACAAAATGCTACTAGTAATCCATATCAAATTGAAATCTTGCACATTGGTACTGGTATTTGCACAATGTACAGAATAACCCGGTAAAACTATTAGACTTGCTTAAAGTAGTTCCAAAGGCTGAATGTTTTTTATTTTTATGCATTCTATGCAAAAAGGTAAAAAAACTTCTGTGTGCAGGCCCCCCTAATACTCACCTAAACCTGAGCTTAGTCAAGCTATATGCAGGAGAGTAGCAGCTCCCCCGGGTCTCTGCCTCCTCATTGGTTCAGAAGTAACGAGAGCCAATGGCTCCCACTGCTGTCAATCACATCAGTGAGGAGGAAACAGGGGGAATGGGGTCAAGCCACGCTCTGCTGTATCTTATGGACGCAGAGAGCGGGGCTTGGGAGTGAGCATGTTCCAGCACCCCCATAGCAAGCAGCTTGCTATGGGGGTACTGCTCAGGGGGGAAGAACCTTAAGCACCAGCAGAGGACCCAAGATGAGGAGGATCGGGGCTGCTCTGTGCAAAACCACTTTCATTTCAACAAACGTGTGCCTTAGACCAGGGTGAAATTTAGAAGTTTCAGTAGTATTATTAAATTGTGACTTTTTAAATGACAATGCTGTGATCATTAGCTCTATGGAGTGTATAACATAAAGCACAGCTTTCAGAGTGATGCCGGTTCAACAGGTTATATTTTCTGCAGGCTTTCCTTTGACAAGCTCTGCCCACTTACTACTTATCCAGGGAAAAAATAGGTGCATGCAATCTGCAGTCCACAAAGTCTTAGTAAATTCAATGGATTGGGAATCCAATGGCGGAGAAGGGGATAAACAGTCTGAATGCCCAGGCAAGCTGTGGTAGAGTGAAGCAGACTCTAATGTGGGGAAACAGAGGAAGAAACACAGCTCCTCTAGACTGTATTACAAGTTTAATTGTTTAACAGTAAGCAGGCAACTCACATGTTCATAGTTACAAACAGGCTCATCATAGAAGGATGTACAGACTGCCTCACTGCCAAGCTGTTAACCGCAATTATGTGTGTCAAGGTAGGACAGTGGGGAATGCTGGAGAGGGAGGAAAGTGCAGGGTTGTTCTGCTGTAGTAGCCCACTGTAAAGTCTAGAGTGGTGGCATTGGCGTCTGATGTCATAGAAGTGCAATGCGTTTTTCAACATGTGCAAGGTCTGGCAGAGACCAGCACGCTCCTTTGTCAAGCATATGATACGATATGGATGGGAGCCTTATATGGGAAACAGGGAGGGAAGTATTCCCATATAAGGCTGTTTCCCATATAAGGCTTTGATAAAGTCAGGTGACGAAACGCGTAAGAGTCAGACCGCACAACATGCTTTGGAATGAGGCATCCACCTTACATCCCCGCCGTATCGTTCGCAAGCAGCAAGGAGGAAATCGGGTGAGATGCTCTCTCTATGTGACATACCGATACTCTTCGCGGTTTATGTGGAGATTTTGGCATGCTTTCATTCATTTTATGTGAGTGTATTACTATCTATCAAATAAATAGTTTTTAGCAGATTCATGCTATGAGCTTCCTTTCATGTCACGAAGTTTATTAGTTTGGAGGATGTCCCGCCACTTAAACAGTCTCTAAATGATGAAGGGATTGCTGATGGATTATTTTACAACAATGACACTCACCACAAGCGCAATTGCCTATCTGGTTTGAATGGGCCACGATATCTGGTGAGTGCCACTGAATTGGAGGAGGCTTTTTCCTCTGGAGCACATGGTGCTGACACAGATGTCTATGCAAATCGCACCAAAAGTAGTACATGTACTACTTTAGAAATCGGTGCGGCTCCAACCAAGTCAAAACCGAATTGAGGACAATAGGGTGCGACTTGGCATACAATTTGCAAGTCGCGTGGCATGCAAATCGCATGCAAAGTCGCACCCGATGTGACCAAGGTGTTAAGGTATATTGAAAAAAAAAAGTTGCACATATACTTTACTATAATATGTATACCCATAATTGATAAAAATAAATATAGAAATAATAAATATATGAGCTAAGAGAGGTCCTCTAAATGTCCTAAAAAGTCCACTAGATGGCACTCACGGACAGGACTAATAATATACACTATATTGCCAAAAGTTTTTGGGACACCCCTCCAAATCATGTGATTCAGGTGTTCCAATCACCTCCATGACCACAAGTGTATAAAACGAAGCACTTAGG